TGAATATTTAAAAAGTTTAAAGTCTACCTACTATCTTAGAATATATAGCTGCTTTGCTCTTGGTCTTACAGTTGGACCAGTATTGCGATGATCATTTCTGAAAGCATAGACAGCCATTTTTAAGTTAAAAAGATTATTTCAAGAGATTTTTTGGAAATTCAATGTAAAGTATGGCTGTATCCCTGTTTCTAATGGCAACAGAACCTATTAGAAACAACCTTGTCACCACAATTTTAGGTCCAAATAACTTCACAGAAAAGATAAAATGTATGTGGCAACTCTATCTTGTTCCATATTTTACATAAAGTAGTTTCTCAGAAATATGATCAGTATTTGAAACAGGTGATTAAAAATTAAAAGGCCTGAGAGAAAAAAAAAGTCTATTCATAATAAGGATTTTGTAAGCTTAATGAAAGGTGGAAGAAAACGTGATAGGACTGCAGTCTTTAACATTTTTTTACACAGTAATCTATCGATCCTAGGTTTTAAATGTGAAGATTTAGATCATCATTGGGAAACTAAACCGTTCATCCATAAGCATTTGTACTTTGAGGCCCAAAAAGCCATAAAGAGAAGAAAGAGGAGAAGGCGGAGGAGGAGGAGAAAGGAGAAAGGAGGGAGGAGGAAGAAGGGGGAAAAAGAAGAAAGAAGAAGTTGTTTATCCATGAAAGTTGAAGAAATCCTACCTATATGTGTCATTTATTATTTGGGCCAGAGAATCAAATATTGATGCAAATACTTCATTATGTTCTTTGAACTTTGAATTTTAGAACACTTGCTTCAAAACCATTGTCCTAATTTACTCATGGTAAACAAAGGCAGAGAGGCCTTGTAGAACACAGAATTGCCAGCCAGCATTTTTATTCTTGGTTCACTGCTTTCCACATCTCCGTGCTCTAAAACACCCTATGTCAATTTTGTTGAACTCAGTTGATCACAGAGTCTTCTCATAAGGCTAAGGCCTCAAAAAGCTAACTTTTGTGTATATTAAGCTTTATGGACACAGACAGCACCTAAAGTGCTCCACCAATCACAAGAAACATTGGGTCAGGTAGCAAAACTAAAAATTGAAACTTCAAAACTGTTTATTGATGCCATCATAATAATTAAATACAATCAACTACATATTACCTACTTGAATTTAGTTTTATTGGGGGATTGGACTCAAGTTGTGATTATTTGTTTGGTCAAATATCCCCTTCAGCGATAGGGTAGAATTATTTCTGTAATGAACAATAGACACAGTCTGGACACTGGATATTCAATTTTTAAATGTACTTATAATTTAAATAGAACACAAATAGTATATATGCAATTAACATCTAATATTGTCTGATGTACACAGCAATATACATACACATACTCAAATATATAAATTGTGGAAGATTTGTATTCATTTTATAGAGACTTTAGGACTCCATATTATTATTTTGTGAATTTTAAAATGCATGTATACATTTTAAAGCATTTAGATAAATCTATAATAAATATTTATTTAACATTTATTATGTACTGGGTGCAAAGACCTGGGGAAAATGGAAAAAAAAGAGAAAGCTAATCTCATCTCTTACTACGTATTTGGTGAGTTGCCCTTGTAACACAAAAATAAGAATATGAATAAGAGATGATGAATAAAGAAGTGCTGAGTACAGAGTGAATTGGTAGATAGATTTAGGATTTAAAATTAGAGTATTAAGACTTAAATTACAACATTAGAGTAAAAATCTTGGTGCTTTTAAATTCTGCTCCAGCAACCTCGTCTAATAAAGAGCCACTAGTTGCAAAAATTGTATTTGCACTCTTGTAAATATTTTTTTAATAAATGGCTTCCCCCATCAGAATGCAAGATCCGGGAACACAGAGACGGTCTGAATCAAACTTAGCACAATAACTGACAGATAGTAAACATTCCATAAATAATTATGAACTGTCTGAGGAGAGCAAGCCAAGTACAAGTGTTTTGTTAAATGTATTTTAATTTTTAAATTTAGAATTTTTAAAACTTTTATTTTGAAATAGTATTAGACTTACAAAAGTTGCAAAAATAGGACAAAGAATTCCCATACACCTTTCACCCATACTCTATAAATGTTATCTCATATAATCAAAGCATTATCATGAAAAGCAAGAAATTAACACTAGAAATTAATCCTCTTACCAGTAAGTAACACTATTATCTAATTTCAGACCTTATTCAAATTTTACCAATTTACCCACTAATGTCCTTTTTCTGCTTCAGGATCTAATCCACCATCACATGGCACATTTGGTTGACACGTCACTTTGCTCTCCTGTAACTTGGAACAGTTCTTTAGTCTTTCTTTGTCTTTCATGACCGTGACACTTTTAAGAATGCTAGTCGGTTATATATTAAATGTTGCTCAGTTGTGATTTATCTTATGTTTGCTCATGATTTAATTCAGATGATTCATTATTGATAAGAGCACCACAGTAAAAATGTTGTGTCCTTCTCAGTGGATTTTACAGGGGAGACACATGATATCAATTTATCCCATCATGGATGATACTGTCTTTGATCATGTGCTGAAAGTAGAGAACAGCTACTTTTAAATGCTCATGGATGTTTTGGACAGGACCAAATATCAATGACCTTTGGGCATGGACCAAATGTCTCAGTGGACACTTTGGATGGGACCAAGTGGCCCACAAGGCTACAAGCACAAGGACAAGAATTCTGCCAACCACCTGAGGAAACTTGGAGTGGATCTGTGCTGAGTCAAGCCTGTGATAAGACTGCAGCTCTGGTCAGCAGTTGGATTCCAGCCTGGCGAGACCCTAGAGCAGAGGCTTCAGCTATGCTGTACCCGGACTCCTAACTTAGGGCAGTTATGAAATAATAGATATGAGTTTTTTTAAACTGCACCTTTGTCATAATTTGTTATGCAGTATAGAAAACCGATGCCTGAAAATGCAATGCTGGTGTAACAGATACCTAAACAGAAGAGCAGTTTGGAACTTGGCAGCGGGTGGCAGGTAGAGGAGTTTTGAGGATCACCATAGAGAAAGCCGAAATCTTGGTGAACAGACTAGTAATGGAAATATAGACTTTGGGACACTGCTGCTGAGGGCTCAGATGAGGTGGTGAACCACGTTCTTAGAGAAAGGGAGATATGTGTTATATAGCGGTTGTATGTTTAGTGATATTGTCTCCGCAGTTATGTGGAAAGCAGGACTTGTGATAAATTTGGTTATATAGCTAGGGAAACTTTCAAACAAAGTGTTGAAGTTGCTAGCTGGTTTCTTCTTACTGCTTATAATAAACGCCAAGAAGAAAGTGATAGATTAAAGGAAGAAGTATAAACAAATAGGAACCAAGTCTGGATGATTTGGGAGATATTCAGCCTCTTTAGATGGCAAAAGATGCTAAAATGATAAGGTTCACAGTCAGGATATCATACTCCAGAAAAAAGCTGAGCTTCTGACTCTACAACATTGTGCTAAACCTCAGATCAAAAAAACACACACACACAAAAAAAAAACCAGAGTATTCAGTCACACAGAATGGTGTTTTAAGAAATTAAAGGTGTCCTGTACAGATTCTCTCCATCTGACCATAGGGTCTCTAGGAAGCCCAAGGGCATTGTCCCTTAACCATATAAGCAGGAGGCAGAGAAAAGATGGTCTGAAAAAAGTCTCCTACGTGTGACTTTTGTTTAATGGAGAGAATCCCTTTGAGATCAAAAGAAGACCCACAAAATGTTTGAGAAAATTGTTCCAGCAGAAACACTCCCAGCTTAGACTAAAAGGGACAAAATAAATGGAGGCTGTTGGATCCTTCACATTCTACTGCCATGAAATAGGATGATAAAACTACTCAGTAGCAATTGTGTGCTGCCATTCATGAAAAAAAGGAATTATGCAACAGGCAGAACCAAGAAACTGGAAGATGGAGCCCAGAGCCATGGAGGCCTTGAAGCTGCAGGCCTTGAAAGCTAATGGAGGAACCCTGGCTGTAGTTTGGCCAGCTGGACGTCAGGCCTGCTCTAGACCAGTGACTCCCTCTATTTCTCTTCTTTTTGAACTAGAATGTCTTTAGCTCTTATCCTATGTTCACCCCACCATTGTATGTTTGGATTGTTAGAGGCAGATAACTTACTGTCTATTTAGTTTCACAGGCCCTCAAATGCAGAGGAATTGCTCCAGGATCTGTACAGCAGGTTCAATAATGTTATTTCATTCAACATTGTTTCATTATAACATTGATGAGACAAAAACTGATTTCCTGGCCAGGACCACTGTCTACATGGACTTTGAGCTGATGCCATAACTGAATGAGACCCTTGGGAAACTTGGAAGGGAGTGAATATATTTTAAATGTGAGAGGAACATGAATCATTGGAGGCCAGAAGGCCGATTGTACCAGACAGATCCAAGGGGCCCCCATGTTGACACCCTGTAAATCATTCCATAACCCAAATCTGGTTCTGCTTTTTAAAAACCCCTTAATTCTTTTTTGTGAAATAAAGTGTAATCCCTAGATACAAGATTCTGGGACTCTCAGAAAAGCTTAGTGCCATAAACATTACCTGAAACTACTTTTTAGTCACAATAATGTAACATCAAAAAGGTACATGTTTTTGTTCATTAAAATTAATGAGGCAATTTGGGAACGAGAGACAGATTTTCTCTCTCCTTTTTAAATTCCTAAATGTAAAGCTACAAATATACTTAAGCTGTAATAATCATACCAACAAATGGCACGAGTGTTGCTTTTTAAAATAACTGAAGTACATAAAATACCTTGGCAGATAAAACTACTCCATGACAACTACTTAGAATTATATGTTCATCCTCCGTTCCCCTTATCATAACATTCACATTTAATTATGTATTCATTTTGTTTGTTTGTATGCAAAAACATCAACTAATCTATGATTTCAACATTAAGCCTATTTCTTTTGAAGCCAAGATAATTTTGCTATTTTATGAAAACATTAGAGATTCCTTTTCCAAAATGCTTAAGGCAGAATGTTTAAGGTTCATGCTTGCTGCTTTGCCTGCGCTTCAGGTTCCTTTGAACCAGGTGGAGATGTCAAGCCTAAAAAGGCATGCACTGCATTGTTCTCTCTGGCTTCAAAGAAGCCATCATAGTCCCCATGGTACTGGCTTTCACTGAAAATATGAGGTGGCAGGGGTATCCTGTGGCTGGTCGACTGTTTTCAGGTACATTTTCTCTCATCCACTTCCGATTCTCTTCATTAGCAGCAATATATATATATATATATATATATATATATATATATATATATATATATATATA